AATATATTACATTAAAATGTTAACAATTAAAGTTATATGATTCTACATTTCATTCAGTTTGGTGTGAAGAACTTTGACATGTTCCATTAAAGCCTACCCCTAGGCAAGTCAGATTTTTTTTTAAACTCAATCCTCCCGTCACCCCTCTTCTATATTATTCTACATTTAACTGAACAAATGTGACCAAATAAGAGAAGTCCATTGTTAGGGTTTAACTATGATTTAAGGATCCTCTCTCCTCTAGCAACACATGAAAGAGAATGTCTAGGGACTAGACCTAAATGTTTAAGAGACCAGTCAGTACACAGATAGCCAGCTGATCAATTATCAATGAAGGAAGCCCGGATCTGCTTAAAGATGTGAACCAATAATAAAATTAAGATGCTTGCTTAAAATATTAAGAAAAACAAATTATCTGTGGACGACAACTTTAGATTCCTTTGAAATGCAACAAAGGTCAGGGAGTATGGGTAGCAGGTTGTGATGTATATCTAAACAGAAAATGGTGCAACACAGCAAAAATAATTGTTATTAAACTAAACTTTAAGTCTACCAGAGAAGGTCAACAGGGACTATTCATTAAAAACTCTATGCACATTACTCACTAAAACAATGTAGTTTGCTTCACACAAAAATGTAAGAAAATGAATAGTCACTAATCTCAGTTACATACATTTAATTTCCTAGAAAATTAATAATATTAATAATGACTACTGTAGACCGTTTAGCTAGGGCTGCAACTAACAATTATTTCTATAATTGATTAGTTGGCCGATTATTTTTTTGATTAATCGCACACAAAAAAAAACATCTTTCATTTAAAATGAAATACACAAATGGAGTGTTACAAACATAAAGTTTACTTTAGAATAAAACTGCATCCACACATCAGGGAGCATTGACTGTATTTGTCTGTCTACATGATCTTATTGGGCTTGCCTTGAGGAAGAAGTATTTTAGCATTTGCCAATTTTCTCATGTTCTTTTTTCCATATATGGGATATGTTTTGTTTTAATTGTTGTATGTGCACAATGTATCAACAAAATTGTTAATAAAAATAAATATTGAAAAAGAAGAACAAAACTGCATGCACATTTTTTGCAATCTCTCCACACTGGAACACATGGCATTGCAATACCGCACCTTTCAGTGCGGGTGATCACACTGCGGGTGGGAGGTGTGTTTGGGGTGCCATTGACATGAATGGCATCACAACGTACATCGCGCAGCAGAATTTGTCAGGCCGAAACTAAAAATGACTTTTCCCAACTTTTTATTTAATAATTGTATGTATTATATTAGACATTATAATTAGTTTCATGAATTTAAATAAATCTGAATGGTAAAACTGTAATCCAATTTATATATAATAAATACAATCCAATTATACCCCTAGTGCTACCTTTCCACTTCACTGGGAAATGAAAGCTGTCTGCTGAAGCAGCTGAATGTAAACACAGCATGCAGTGGCTGGGAGCAATAGTCAGCCTGCTATTGGCTATTTTGGCTATTGCTCCTGCCCACTGCCTGCTGTCAATCAGCAGAGGAGTGAACTGAAGGAGAATTGGCTATTGCAATTTAAAATAGCCAATAGCAGGCTGAAAAGGGGGAACAGGGGCACTAGAGGAGGCACCAAGGCAGCAGAGGAGAAACTGGGGCAGCAGAGGAGGCACAGAGGCAGCAGAGGTGGATTGGGGCCAGCAGAGAAGGCACGGGGCAGCAGAGGAGGAATAGCGTACAGCAGCTGGGAATGCTGAGGCACAGCGGTCTCTACTACCCTGTCACGATCTGGGATCAGGCTCAGAGTCCAGTAGCTGAAACAGCAGGCAAATTTGTGGTATACATGGTTCCTGATGAGCCGGCCAAAACTTGCTGCATGGGTGCCTCGTCGGTTTGGTACACAAGCAGGCAGTAGTAGTATAGGAGCAGGCATCATCATGGTCAGAAATCAAGCCGAGGTCAGCAGCCAAAGGTGTCACGTTTGAAGAAGGAGACAATAAGCGTTGTCGGTGAATCGGCAGTACACTGTAATAGACGTACCGGGTTACGGTACACGTCGGGCTCCAACGCCGTCCTGCGCAGGCGCGCCGTGGTAAACCCCTCACCTCCTAGCAGGGACTCAGAATTGCGCAAGCACTCCCTGGACTCCGCCCACCTCATTTGAGCAGTCAGCTTAAAGCCGCTGCTCACTGATTGATTGGAGTCCTACTGTTGATTGTAGCAGGACACTGATCAATCAGTGTCTGCCTTGCTGCCCTTCAGAATCATCAGCCACAAGCAGGTCGTCGGATCCAAGAGTCTCAGGGCTCTACCATTGACCACCAAACAAACCGCAAGTAGAGGCATATGCCTCCTGGCTACCAGGACACTACTATAGTGCTGTTGTGCTGAACTTCATTACCTGCTAGCTAAACTCCTTGCTGTTGCTCACAGCCATTAACTCTATGTGATACTGCTGTTGTGCTGAACTTCATACACCTGCTAGCTAAACTCCTTGCTGTTGCTCACAGCCATTAACCCTGTGTGTTATTGCTGTTGTGCTGAACTTCATACCCTGCTCTCTAACTACCAGAGGAGTGGCACTTCCATTGTTGCCAAGGGGAGTATAATGTTAAGCAGCTCTCGATCCGCCTAATCAAATACAGGGCAACAGAGTTCAGCTGCACAACTGATCCCCATCCATGAAACTCCGCAGTTGCGATCCATTCCCATAGATAAGAGAAGCGAGGCTTTACATACACTGATAGCAGTATGAGGAGATTGTATTGTAGTAGGAGCAGGAAGCAACATATTGGCAGGAGCCCAATAATCTGACAAATAGGAAGTGCAGTTGCATGATTTAAATAGGAAGTGCAAGGGAGGAGCAAGGAGTTCAGCAGAAAACTGGGTTTAACTGAGGATTGCACAGGAGATCAGGCAAGGAGCTATCCAAAGTTTCAGGTGGCTCAGCAGGAAGAAATACTGCCAGATACAGCAGAAGTTCTGGCTTCAGATCCGGATCCTGACATGCTGGCTGCAGCGATCTCTGTTCCCTCTTAACGAAGGGGATACAGACCGCAGCATGCAGCAGTTCCCAGCGAGGAGAAAAATGGAGGAGCAGAGGGGTGGCTGGAATTCAACTAATTGGAATCATCTAATCGATAATGAGAATTGTTGACAACGATTCTGATTATCAATTAAATCGATTAGTTGTTGCAGCCCTACTTTTAGCAGTTGAAAGTTTAATTTGAATTATTTCCCTTTTTCATAGCTATTTTCTGAACAGTTATTAAGTCCCGAAAGAGAGGATAATATCATTTAATTGGGGGCTCTAACCATGCTACGTTATGTATAATTCTAAGATCTACTCATCACCTCCAATAGCAGAATATTTTTAAAAACTAGCATAATGTTTAGGCGATGACAAAAGAATGATATATTTATTTTTTATTTCATATGTTAAGCTAACCAGTCCAAAGTATTATTGACCTGCATTTTTAAACATGTGTTGTTCATACCCATTTTAAATTAAAAATGTAAAATTCAGTAACTTAAGTTAATGATGTATATAAATTTTCCGTGTAATGGTCTTAGAATTTTGCCCAAACTCTTTGTAAGGGTACCTAAACTGCTGTGCCCTTCACTTCACTATTCCTTCCTTCAGAACCAACTTTATTTCATTAAGCTAATCTCTGATTCAGAATGAGCAGCTGTCCTGTTGAACCCAAGGTATGCATCTATTTTAGAATTGCATAAGTCAGCACTGCATGGTTTTTGAACAACTGGACTTTTAACTGTCTGGTTCTCTTAATGTTGATTGGCATTAACCTTTTCAGAACAAGATGGTGCTAATCAGATATCATGATTAGCAATATTATACTTATTTATAATAATTTACACAAAACTGAATGTTAACTCAAAATGTATTTCTTTAAAAGTCTGACATCATGCTTCACCTTATATAGCAAATAATTTTTTTTGCATCTGTTGCAAAGTTTGTTATCTGGAGATCCTGACACTTACAGCACTTCCTGCTGACAACACTAAGCTACTGTTTATTAGGTCTGCAGGAAGTATGCACAGACCTGATAGGCCTAAAGTCTGGTATAAACGCTTATATTTTCTTTGTTGAATGTAGAATATAGAAACAGGTTCCTCCATCAACGAGTGTTGATGGACGAATCCCCGCTATTTGCACTGTATTATGACAGTGGCCGCTGATTGTTGTCAAAATACCTAAACTGAGCGAGTGGCTAATTGGCTGCCAGCTCCCTTCGGCCGAGACTTATCCAACCTGCTCCTTCGATTAGCTCATCGAGGGATGCCAGGTGTAAGGGTGCCGAAGAGGCACCCATGCAGCAAGTTTTGGCCGGTTCATCAGGAACCATGTATACCAGACTTAACAACCAAGTTAAAGAGTGCACACAACACACTGAGAACACTGCTGCTAAATGTGGTTTATGCTGTAAGCCTGCAGTAGGAAGAACTGCTACTGGTAGCATCTCCAGGTATGGGACAGATTTACAAAAAATATTTGCTAAAAGAGACTGTATACAGTGAGGTATGATGCCAAATATACCAAAATAGATTTGGGGTTACACTTTAAATCCTTGATTCAACGCAATCATTTATTAGGTACAACTCAAAAACAGCATGTGATTTATGAACCGTTTGACTGCTAGACATGGTGTCAACTGGTCCTAATTTCAATGTGGCACGTCTGTGTGTGTGTGGTAATACCCCTAACATATCCATACCCTTTGGCTGCTCTAAAAAGGAAGCACTGCTCATTTGATTTGTGTTTCAGGAAGATCTGTTGGTTACCTATTACTGTAATTCACTCATATATTTTGGCTGGTTTTAAAACTACAATAATGCACCAACATTTCTAAACCGCTTTGCACTTCATAAAATTACACTAAACAACAAAACATTTTTTCTTCTAAGAAATATAAAAGACTGGGTAAAATTTGGAAGCATTCTGAAAAGGTAATCATAAAATAATCCGTGTACGTTTTACCTGAATGAAGATCTGTACCAGGTTGATTAGTTAGACCTGAAAGTGAATCCTGTAACTGATACGTAGAAGATGATGAGGTGCCATCCACTGTGTTATTTGGGGTCATGTAGGCTGAATATGTTGATGTAGAGTAATACTGTGCATATTGGTTTTGGCCAAAAGCTGTGTAAGAGGGATAATCCTGGAACAATAAGAACAATTTGTTAAGTAAAGTATTAAAATCATTATTTGAGATTTGGCAGCAGAGAGGATTAATCAGCTCTTAACACTAAATTGAAGGGAGTATTCTTTTACTTCAGGTAGGTTTAATATATCGTTAACACCTAACCAAAGAAAATCGATTTCAAACTGTATAGTCTTAACACTTTAGTAATGCTGAAAGCTCTGACACAGCCTATCATTACAGTAAATTCCTGAAATGATCTTTCACAGGTGGCCGCAATGGAATTAAAATAAAAAAAACTTGAATGCTATTATGCTTTTGTTCTGTAGGATGGTTTTTATATATTCACACACATATATACACATATTATTCCTTCAAGATGCACGCATTTAGATTATCTATGACATAATGCATGTATTATTTTAAGCGAAAGTGAGACTGTAGTCAAAAATTGTAGGTACCTCTGTCTATATAAAACTAAACAAAACAAGAGTTCTACTTGAATAAAATCCTGTTATTACAAACGTTTATTACATTACAAATTTGGTCTCCCATTAAAAAATATGTGCTGCAACACTATATTATAAGTGCATCTGCACTTATAGTTTTATCTCCGTACCCCTGCATAGTCACACAAATATCTGTAAATCTTGACATGGAAGTCCACCTAATGTAGCTTCCTGTGATGGTGTGGGGATGATATTGCACTGCTCCTGAATTGAGAGCAGAGTTGGCACTCTCATGTAGGCTGTACCTGCTTGTATTACAGTAGGATGACAAAATGTTGCAGGGGATGTGGCTATTAGCATTGTCACTGCTGGTTTACAAGCCCATGGCTTGCCAATCAACCTCTGGCCACACCTAATCCTGTCCTCTGCTTTCTGGATTGATTGCACTGCTTCCCACTGTAATCTGCAGTGTCTGGCAGGGGGAGCATGTGACACACAAATGAGGAAGCTTTTGGCTCTCTCTCAGGGTATATAAAGGACGTTTTTTTGTTCACTTTATAAGGCTTGTTTAGACTGGAGCCTTTAAATGTATTTAAAGTAAATACTAAACCATACATGAGTATATCATGGCTACCCAGGCAAGGGTCAATGGTAAATATCAGAAATACATTTTATTCAGAGTTGAGACTCAAAATCAAACATAATTGAATCATAAGAGAGGAGAGAGGAGTTGGGGGGAGCCCTTATTTAATGTTGTCACTGGAAAACGTCTTCATATTTCCTTTAAGTTTTTATATGGACAACTGTAGATGTTTGTATTTCCCCACATTTTCTGATGCATTGAGAAGTGTCACAAACAGCAACAAAAAGCTGCTCTAAGCCTTCCCTACTCTATCAAAAAATATGTTTTGTCTGTTGTGTCACTTAAATTGTCATCTAAATTGTCATAAATTGTTAAATTGTCATCTAATTTTCAAGATGCTTCCTTAAAGAACACCATGTTGAAAAATGCAGGCAGTGGAAACAGTATTTATTATTTCTCCAAACCAAATACTTTTATATTTACAATGTGAAGCACCGTTCTTCATTTATGATACTGGATACCAATACTACTAATCTCTGTAATTCTCTGTGATTTACTCTGGATCACATTAATTCTAATAAGGCTGGATCAGATTATTCATTTACTCAATGATTTTTAACCTAATTATAAGTTGAGGTACATTCCCAAATCTGTCAATTCTTAGTTTTCTCCAACTGATGAAGAATCACATGGCAATCATGGTTTGTGAATTGTATGATTTTTCACATATAAGAAATATCTGTATGTACATATTTGTAGTTCACAAAGAATAAAAATTACAATTTCATAATTTTTCACATTTGCAAAAAGATTTGAACCAATATACGGCCTCATTCATGCAGCAAATGTTTGAGCTACTGCAAGACACCAGGATTCCTGTGTCTGGATTCACAGGTGGATGCACTTAGTTGCAGCTGCTGAATCTGTACAAAGCAGTGACAGACTGACAATGCCCACAGCTGTCTGCCGGTGTTCGGCTGTAATCGCACATGGAACGATTACGTGTCTTTAGAGACAGGTGATCATCCCCAGATGCAAGCCTTTTGTGTCCAGTGGTGATCATCTGTCCCAAACCACTGATAATTGTTCCATAAATGATTAATTTTGAACACTGGAGGACAGCTTCGGCCACTGTCAGCTTGTCATTCCTTTGTACACCCTCAGCAACCGCAACTATCCGCATCTACCTGTGAATCCAGCCACAGGAATCTGTAGGATTTTTGTCACAGCTGGAGCATTTCTACATTGTTAATAAGTACTAAATGTTCTAAATTACCCAATTCAAGAGTCAGAGACTAAAAATGGATATTTAAATCCAATGGGAAAACTGTGGAAAACTGGGAATACTGAAGGAGGGGCAATGACTGTGGACTGGTCTCCCAAAATTGAGGTACCATATTTGTTTGCAATTATCCGCATTTTCAGCTTTTACCAAAATTCCCCCATGTCACCCTCCCTCTTTAGCCTCTTGAACACACACAGATGTGTCTGCCCCCTTTTGCAGGTTTATACTTCCGCAGGTCAGTGTCCATACGTTCTGCATTAACTGAGTTAGCTGTGTTGCCTGGAACATTGTTTCTGCAGTAGGGGTACAGCCCATTCAAGTCTATGGGTTTTTACTACACAGGCAACACAACTAACCCAGTTTATGGAGAAAGTATGGACACTTTTATCACCCAAAAGGTTGTGGTGCTACTTTGTGTATCTTGTTAAGGAGGAAAAAAATATATATATATATATCATCTTTATGACACTCCAAAATCTATAACCTCCCTTGTGAAATGTGTACTTGCAAATTGATTTAACTAAAAGAAGGCACAGCTATTTGCTAAAAGCATGATAATAATCATGTGTTTGAGTGGGAAAATGTGTAAGGAACTGCATGTATTCTGGGTGTAAATGCATTCAGATGGCTCAGATGTTGTATGTTGGTGTATGTCACACTGAGTTGATGAGTCTGGGGGGTAAATGAATTTGCCACTTAAATAATCCTATGGCATTGTAAGATGTTGGTCCTGGATAATGTTTTATCATCATGTCCTCATGTTCTTACATAAATACAGTGTCTGCATTAAAACAAGTGGTTAGAATAGTATTATTTTTTACTTAGGAGCACCTGCAACCTATCATGCTATGAAGAAGTACAAACATATTGTTCATCATACCTATTCTGTGCACTGTTCTGACAACACTACAAATGCAAACATGTAATATAACTACTATGGATGCATAACTTTACTGCCATAAGGGTTTCCTGCGTTGTTGCTGTGGAACAATAGACACATAATTATTTGAATGTCCCATTCATGCTTGCCAAAACCAAGGGCATAACTATAGATAGCAGCTATTAAAAATAATGGAACTAACATGCCAGACTTCTTTTAAAGAATGTCGCAACACATTATTTTATAATTGCACCGGTGTCAACAGTGCGTATGTCCTTAAAATGTACTTGATGTTGTTGACTTGTTTAAAAATACTTCTGTATACTAATCCTGTGTTCACTGACTAGTAAGGCACAGAGCTAGAGCAAGTATACAGGATGGGATATCAGACTTTTCCGATATAGCTAGCTACTTATTTGTCCCATTATCAGTTGTTCTCTAGGTAGTAAACAAGGATTTAAAAGAAGCTAAGAACCTGCAACATTAAAGCTGAACACCGGGCAGATACAAAAACACTGATTAATGCAGTTTGTATTATTTACTAAATATAGATATGCTTTTTTAAATGCATATAGTGTATGTACCTGAATGTGAGCCTCATGTAATCCCCTTTACAGCAGCACAACATTGGGAGAGGGAGAAGCAACACTTACGACCAATCAGGTATACTGCACACTGCTGTTCTGAGAAAGAACATGCTTACAGGAGGAGAAAACAGTGCACACAGAGGGGTGAATGGCTGCTGCTCCTTCACTATCCAATGAGGTAACCTAGCTATATTGCTTAAAGATGATTTCCAGGTATGACCCAAATTAACCCCCCAAACCTCCCTCTACACCTCCCTCTGAAGGGGAAACTCATGACAAGAGAGATCAGCAGGAGGCAATAGCTCAGTTCCTACGATATAAGCATGTTGCACAAGAACTACATATCTCAAGAGCTCTTTCCCTACAACGTTGTAGGCAGGCTCGTTGAAATCACGGCAGCAGCATTGTTTATCTGGTATAAAATTGCAAGTAGAGCGGGAGAGAGGGGCAGAGATAGGCGGAGTTCTTGCATTATGATCACCATTAAAAGATATGTCAACTATTATCCATTTCAGCTTAAAGCTGAACTCCAGGCAAACAGCTAAATATACAGATGAAATACATATGTGGGAGCTGTCAAAGTATGTCTATTTCTGCCCATCAAGTCCTGAGATTTATCCCATTCTGCCAGACCATGCAGCCATGTCTAGCAGGGGAGTAGACCTCTGCTGCAGTTCACACATATTGTAGTGACCTGTGTTGTACCATACAACGCAAGTCACTGCAAGGACACATAGAAAACAATTGTTTTCGATGTATTCCATTCACATCACAACACTGGTGTGATGTGTGGTGTGTTGCATTTTCATAAAATGCAAACATGCTGCATTGTATTGCAGCGTATTGAATGCCACCGCAGATTGCTCCACTGCAGGGACCTGAGTGCAGGGACCTGAGTGGAGTGTACACATTGAACACTCTACATAAAGTCGCAAAAAAAAAATTAAACAGTGACAAGTCCGGCAGTGTGCGATACAACGCACCCTGTTGAAGCTGCAACAAAGGCACTAGCCTGGTTAGAGCATTTTAACGGATGGGCTAGTGTGAACATGCCCCAACAGGTCTTTTTCCCACCTCCACCCTGTGACTATACAGTGAAAAGGGGAAGCAGCACACTGATGAGCTCATCTCTGTCACTCTTCCCTATCAGCATGCTTCTTGCACTGCAGCTCAGTGGCTCCTAGTGCTGCTTCTCCTTTGCCCTCTTGGAGATCTGCTGCATAGGAACTGCAAGAAGCTGATATCAAGTCAAATTCAGGTACTTTCACTACTCACATAAAAAAAATACATTCAAGGATCCTTCCTTATTCCTCTTTCCTTATTTTAACAAAAAATATTTCAGACACATTGGCATCAATGCACAGTCAGAGCTGTAAAGGAGGAAGACTGTTGGCAGTATTCATCACATAATCAGCATGCCAGGAAGATTGCTCAGTTATTATCTCATCAATGGTAAGCTGAATCACAATATGCAGTGGGCAATGTCGGGCTCTGGGCACCAAAAAACAAACCACATGGGTAATTATTTGACATATTTCACTAAACGTAGATGTAAAGGCTATGCAATCAAAACAAGAGTGCACAAAACATCATCTAAACTGTGTAACAGCATAGAGCAATTTTTGTGAATCATTCATTCACTAGCTTCTGCTATTATTATTTATTTGCTGCCATGTGACTGCTTCCCTTATATTTTCCAGGGATCAGGGCTGCCCTAGCAGCACTAAGCATCACCTACTCCCTGTGGCTGAGTATGGCGCAACTGCATGGGAGCAGTCAGCCTCCTCTACATTGATAGCATTAGGACATTGGAGGAAATGGCTGCAGTTTATTAAAATACAGCAGAGAGAAAAGTGACAACACTCTAGTAAATTCATCATCAGCTTTCATACAACATTGTCACCTCAACAGGAAGTGGTCCTAAAGTATTATTACTAGAAAAATCAACAGGTTTGCAGTATGTTGAAAACTTACTGCAGTGGTAACATTTCAAATAGGTCAATGAATAAATTGAGCTTTCACTCTTTGACTTTGGACAGTGCACTGTCCACAGAGGAAGTCAGGAAAAGAAACGCATCTGGGCGGCGCTTGGTGATGTCACTCCATAGGAATGAAGGAAGGAACACAGTAAGGTGCATACCAGCCAGAATGGTTTTTAAACGTTATTGTGTGAACACTCATTTTTTAATAATGTAAGTGCAATACTCTTTTCTTAATAAAGTTATTTTAACAAAAGCTACACTATGAGGACCATACATATCTTCACTTGAGCCCTGATAGGATACAAAGGGAGTGGCAGCATTACACAATGAACATAGAACTCCAGTGGTGAAAAGAGTTTGAAGCCAGATTAAGTCTAAAGCGCGATTACTGACCATGAAATAACTGATGAGTGCAACAGAGTGCAGCACGTGGGTGCAACACAAGAGGTTCACACTAAGAGCACATTGGAGACGGTTAGATTTAGGACTGAAGTGAATCACAGCTTTGGACAATTTGCACATGGTGGATTGGTTATCCATATATTGATTGAGCAACACTGATTAGATTTGTGTTATTTATAGATTTGGATTGAAAGATTGTATTTATGCACGGTTGATTAGGGGATTGATGAGAATGAGAATAGAAGTTATGATTGTTATACATATTGGGTTACGGTTATTTAATCGCATACAGTTTTAATAGGACTGTGGTGTTTATTAATATATACTCTTTGACTTTTGCCCACAGATACACTTTAGCATAGCTAAGAACACAAATAATATACTGTTAATGGAGAACTATGGGGTTAAGGCTTTTCCCCAAAGTTCTCCTTAAGGTAACGGGAGGACACAAACTAGCGTCCTCCCATCACCCTAAGCTCAGTATACCACGAGCTACAGCTCGCGGTATACTGAGACGCCGCAGCTGAAGCAGATCCTGACAATCATGTCTTGATCCGCCCAGCTGCGTGAGTGACAGCTGGCTCTGCCTATCTAGAGGTCTACAAACTCTGCTTCAAGACAGAACAGTTCTATTGATTCCCTGTTCAAAATGCATGACATCAAGTCATTTCTTACCTGTTGAGGACTACTAAAGTTGGTTGAATTTGAGACTGAGTTATTTGCATAAATACCAGATGATGGGGTAAAACTAGAACCTAAAAGAAAAATAATATCATACATTGACATCTGGTTTTTGGAATAGGTATAATAAAACATCAAAGACATAGTGAATACTGCAGTAAGTTATAACACTTTAATGTAAACATCGCAGAACATTGGAAGAAACCACAGTTTCACCCAGTCACCCATTTCTACCTTTGTAGAAGTGATTAACATTTATTGTGGTAATTTAGAGGTGCAGTGATGATGTATATGTGTGTACACATTCAAAATTTCCTCCACAGGAAACTCAATCTGACATGGGCGTCAGATTGTCTTGTAAAGCAGCTATCCCCTCCCTGTGAGTCATCATAACAAGATCACTGCACACCAGCTCTGCCTCTCTAGGTCACTCTGCACTGTTCAGGGGGCATTGCTACTATGAATATTAATGAATGGGGGAAAGCTCAGAGAGAGAGTTTGGTTTGCAAAGAGGAGCTTGTGCACGAGGGAAGCATAGCATTGTGGGAAATGTAGTTTTCAATGCCCTACATTGTAGTTCCCACTGTGCACCTATAATGCACAAAGACTGACAGCAGAGCACAGAGGTGGCCATTTCAAAAGAAGCCACGAGGAGATGAAGAGGAAAGATATCAAAAAAGGAGTTTCTGTGTTCATATACAGCAACTGCATATGCCTGCTTCATGTTCATGTTTTCTCGGTGTACATTGCTGGCATACATTTTTTTTTAATGGGCTTTAAACTAGAGCAACATGCATACCTCCCAACTATCCGTCATATGAAGGGACTATCCCTTTTTGGGAACTAAATCCCTCTGTGCCTTTTTCCTCAGTTGTCCATCTTTTTGATCTGATGTACAGATATCTATGAATAGGTTCTATTTAACTACCAAAAGTGTTATTTTGCACTAAAGTCTTTACCCTATCTCTTAAGTATCTTGTTTACTTTTTCAAAAAGTAATTGTAAAGGGAAAGTAATGGTGGAAAAAAAACAATTCTGGATTAAATCAATCATCTTTGGCCTAACTGGGAGCATCGCAGGGGTATGTCCATTGCCTAAATACATTGTGCTAGAAGATATCTCTTTTTTGCTCATGTCAAAAATGCATAATGCTCATGCATTATGTTACACAATAGATGTTTGCTCTGAGATTTTAGTTAGCATACCTGGCATCTGGTAGGAGTATGGGGTTTGGCCTGGCTGAGGTGTAGAAAACCCTGGGCTGTAGCTTAAGCAACCACTCTGAAGCGGAGACTGCGTTTGTGGAAGTCCACTTTCCGTTTTGATACCCGGAAGCATTACTCCCAGGTCTGCATGAGATAAACACATTTTGTAAGAGAAAGAGAGAGAGAGAGAGAGAGAGAGAGAGAGAGAGAGAATAAAGCTGCCAAAAGGAAATTGCAAACAATATATTAAGGCAAACATACCATAAGTTGGTAAGCTGTAAGGCTGTCCAGTCTGTGAGTATGCTGTGTAAACGGTGGGTTGTTGCATTCCAGAGTACTGGGTTTGACCAGCATAGGCTGACATAGTTTGAGCAGCTGGTGTTGATAGAATGTGAGGATAAGGCCTAAAGTATAAAAACAATTAAGGTTACTTTAAAGTATATTTAAAAAGAAAAATTTATTATATCACAGAGTGGTGAAATGTGGTGGCTGCATTAGTTATCTTCTTTTGGATTTTCCTTCCCTTTATCTTCACTTGGTGATCCTGCCAGCCATACACTTCCTGTCCCAGGTGACAATGCTCACTCACCATACAGTATTTATGAAGAAGCAACATTGTAGGACCGGAAGTTTGTTAGGACTTCAAAACACGCCCCTCCTCAACTCCATAACACAAGGGAGGCATTCTAACACACTTGCTAATAACACTAATAGCACTGCTTAAGATAACACAGCAGTGCTTAGGACTAGGACATCAATGGATTTCTGGGATGATTAATAGGTATTTTTTTGCACTTATCAAATAGATATAACAAAATTATTTTAATTACATTTTGAGTAACATGAAGCAAATAAGAGTTCATTGTTAGAGCTTACATGTTCCTTCAATTCATACAGTTTTAGCTATTTTCAGGATATTTGTATGTTGTTCAAAAAATGTTACATACATAGAGGGGAATTTCTCAAACCTGGAGCAGCTGTGCATGGCAACCAATCAGCCTCTCTCATTTTTCAAATCTTAACTGAACAAACTGAAGAGAGAAGCTGATTGGTTGCCATGCACGGCTGCTCCAGATTTTGTCTACTCTAAGATTTGAAAATTCCACCCCCTAGGGTTTATGTATAGAAGTATGCTAACTGGAACAAATTCTTGATGGCCTTAGCAATCCATTAAAAATAATTGTTCTATTTTTAGACCCAGACTACAGAAATAATAGATGGAAGCCAACTGGCTGCCATAGGAAATATGATATTTTCCTGTTAGCACACTCTTCATGCATAATCCCTCTTTTTCTTTTTGTCCTAAAACAAGAAATAATACTAATCCAACCAGCAAAGATATAAAATTTGCTAAAATATAACTATATAAACACCAAAATGTTAGGACAGCTCTAAATGATTTTGCTTATAGAACCAAACAAATTAAGTCTGTCAGCATTGCTTAAATCAAGGGTTGGCAACCTTGGCACTCCAGCTGTTGTGGAACTACAAGACGTATGAGGCACGGCAAGACTTTGGCAGCCACAGGCATGACTCTCAGAGGCAAAGGCATGATGGGATTTGTAATATCACCATAGCAGGAGTGCTGAGCCTACTGCTGGTTTAAATACTCATATATTTGCTCTTTTGCTAGAAATGAGAGTACTGGCATAAGGGTCACTATACACACAGGGGGGAATCTTTCAAAACTGCAGACAAAGAGCAGACAAAAGCTGTAGCAGCTGTGCATGGCAACCAATCAGATTCTCTCTTCTGTTTGTTCAGTTAAGATTTGAAAGTGAAAAAGAGAAGCTGATTGGTTGCCATGTACAGCTGCTCCAGTTTTCGTCTGCTCCAGTTTTGATAAATTCCCCTCTGAGTATATAGTCAAACATACAATTTATAAGTGCATGTTTGTAAAGGGTTATAATGCATATATTTTCTGACTTATTGTCCACGTATGTTTGCAAAGGTGATCATAATTCTGTTCAATCTATTTTCTAGATGAGTTCAGTCAATTCATAAAGACTCTGGGGGAAGGGGTGGATTAATAAAGGAATAGAGGCTATTCACTTTGCAAAGTGAATGTTTGTAAATAAGGTGAAGCTGTATTCACATTGAAAAGTGAACATTCACTTTGCTAAGTGAATAGTCTCTTTGAAATCATCTCTTTATGTCAATTTTCCCTAAACATTTTTTACACCAACCTTGACAAAACATACCATGTGATGTGGATCTTTATTTTTTTAATTTAAAGTGTTATACCAGTTTGGGATTTTTTTGGGGGGTGACAATCTGTCTACTTTTTTAACATTTTTTTACACTGTTACACTCGTCATGATGAAGACTTGTCATCATTCCATTTGAACATTTTATAACAAGTGCAAAAACAAGTGGTAATCAGCTACACAATCAAGTGATTTTTTTAATATGGGTACCCCAAGCCCTATAGAAGCACATATTGCAAGGGGTATTGAATGGTGGATCGCAGCCTTTTAAAGACTCACCCAATATTTTCATTTTTCTTTCCTGGCTGTTAACCTATCTTGGATGTTTTAAAACAGGCCCCATTTTTGCCTATAATTTCTGTTGGAAACTGGGCTAGCGTTTTCTTTTTTCTATGATTACAAGACTGGCTGATGTAGACAAGGCTAGAACACGGTCACTGGCTTTATACTATCAGTGATTCAGATTTTTGTTTAGTGCACTGTTGATGCCAATAGATCACTAGCAGGTGTCACGCCATAAGAATTGGCAGAAATCATATTGTGTATCCTCATCTGAATCTACTTTTATCCTCAACTTCTCTTGTAGAGCTTTCCTTAAGACAATACTGACCAGTGGCCTCTACAGGATCCAGCCAATGTTGCACACACTTTCATTGACAATAGTTACATTGATCTGTGTATCACTTCCATTATGCAGGGTACGAAGGGTATATTTTCCTAACCAAGAGATGAGAATATGTTTGTCCTGCCCCCACCATTCTCTGATGACAAATCAAAATGAGGAAGCCAGAAAATTATTACATTCTTAGTTTACATTATATACATGGTACTAACTTCTGTAACTGATATCCATTAGACTGAAAGAGTTTAAACTGTTGCTAATTACTTATTGCTACCTTCTGCCAATGCAGAACATTATTGTAATTGAATTAGCATAATTCTAAACTCTGCCAGGTATTAATTTTTTCTTCTTAACAACTTTTGTTTAAAAAAATGACTTGTGGATCTCCTAAAGCTTGGCCATTCAGGTTTGGGATATTATCCCTAGCAGAAACACAAAAGTGGCCAGGTCCCACTATGCTAATACCAATCCCTACGCCTTCAGCATTAGGGGTAGGATTGAGCCTACCCCTAATGCTGAAACATAAACCCCTAAAAAACAAAAAGGAAAAAAGGTGCCCTAAATGCTTCAAAGAGTACAAGTGGCCCTGTAAACCAGTCCTCTGGGGTTTTTTGACCCAGAGAATGAAAGTAAAATAAAAAACCAAGGCTGAATTTTGCATATATATTACAATATATATAACCAAAACATCCATCTCCTAATTTACCAATTCATTACAAAACTAATATGCCCAAAAGCAATTGTCAAAACGTTTGAATTTAATTTTCTTACTAAAAATTACAAGATTAATTCACACAGGTCCCATAGCTGCTCTTATATATCATACAATGTCATTAAAAAAAACACACATTTAAATCTAGCTCCTAATGTGAAAAAAATTGCTCATATTATATACATATTTAGGGAAATCCTTCTACTTTTTCCTAAGCCTGACCTCGTGAAGCTCTGAAACTGAGACTGTCTTACTAGAACTGGGACTGCACTGACAGAATCTATGCTTTGACTCAGTACATCAAGAAAAGTCTACATAGCAAGCAGTAAAGGGGGCTACAACCCTTAATAAATTGTATAAGCCCTTAATTATTATGACAAGACTACAGCCTAATGTACGGAATTTAAATAATTAACGTTGTGAATAGTATTATCTATCTTACTTTTTTTACACAAGCTCTTGGATCATTTGCCAATGCAAACTGCAATTTTTCTGAATTTTTTGCTATCATATTTAACCAGTTGACATCCGCGGTGTTAAACCCCCTTCCCATCCAGGCCATTTTTCAGTATTCAGCGCTGCAGTACTTTAACTGACATTTATTCCGTCATGCAGCGCTGTACTGAAATGAATTTTATACCCTTTTTTGGGGACAGATAGAGCTTTCTTTTGGTGGTATTTATTCACCACTGGGGGTTTTATTTTTTTACTATATTAAGGAAAAATTAAACATCAGTATATACAGATTCTTCTAATAGCATCAATAGACACAATATTCTGTAAGCTCAGTTATACATAAATACACATAGCAATAGAAATATATATTTGGTTGATAGTATCCCAGTAATACATAAGTCTATCATTTGATATTTGGTATTAAGTATTAAGCTTTCCTTACACTAGAGATGTCCATTGGTTTAGACACTGGCACCTACCAATTTGCCATTGTTCTGTTACTGATGCAGGTAGAAAAGACTTTCTTAAATAAGCCAAATCTAAGAGGGTTATTCACTAAGCTAGCTGAAGGATCAGCTGTAGCTCCGGGTGATCCTTTGGCTAGCTTCGGCCACCTGAGCCCTTCGGTTCAGAAGAAACGAAGGGCTGCTGTATGGGCTAGTCACTATAGCCCATACAGCTTCCGAAGCTGGCTGAGCAGCTCAGTCGAGCCGAAGGCATATGCTTTGGCTCGAATAAGCCGAAGTGAAACCCGAAGCAGGCCCAAAAGGACGCTAAACTGTCATCACAATGAGAGCTCGGCGGAGCCGCCATGATATCACGGCCGGCTCCGCTGAGCTATCATTAGCTCAGTGTCCCCTGGTTACCACGGAGGTACAGAGCAGAATAGCCGAGCCAAATGCCGCTCGACGGCATTCGGCTACTCACTCACTGCCGTTTGGCCCCTATGAGAATGAGGTTCGGCTCAGCTGATCCAGATGTTAGTTCGGCTGAGTTGAACTCCTTCTGCACTTCAGGTCGGCCGAACGTGCAGAGCATGTTCGGCCGACCCGAAGCCAGCCGAAGCAAGCCGATGTATGGCTGAAGTCAGCCGTATAAGCATGAAGTGAATAGCCGAACAGCATTCGACTCACTTCACTTCAGGTCGGTTATTCACAAGGCTGCCTTCAGCAGCTTTGTGAATAACCCTGTAAATGTATATTTGCACCTCTATACCATGCGCTGCCTGATCACTATAAGACAAGCAACAGATCCCAACATGTCTAGCAAACATTGGATAGCGTAGCATTCATTAATGTGTGGGAATAAGTATTGAGGAAGTCTTTTAGCATATTTGCAATTATATAACCTCACAAAATAGAGCAATGTATTTTGCTCATATGAAAAAAGTCAAGAGGGAAAGACACTATGGCTTTGGCTGCAAGAAAGGGCAGATTGTCATCATCAACAGAAAACCGGGCTATCTGTGTCCTATATTACAAGGAAAAAGGGACCTTCCTCAATGTCAGTACCAATGAAATAATCTATGTGTTTAGAATGCAAGCAAAAGCTTTGTTTCAAAGTCAGGTTTCAAAGCCGATGATATAACCAATTGCTCAAAACACTTCAATATTAATGGAGGAGATTCCAGAGGTAAATAAATAATTTACTTGCAGCTCTGTAGCATGTGACTGATTATCTGCATTGCCATATTACTCTTTTTTCACTTTACTAAATTGAAATAAATGGAAATAATACCCACAACTACACCCTTTATATTATCCATTCTAAAGAAAAAAAAAAACTAGTTTTAAAATAGATGCCGATGAGACCCTCATGTCACTGGCCTAACTTTCATCAATAGTCTATCTCCTCCTCCGCAACCTTGTCAAAAACAAAGGGGTCTATTCACGAATCTGCCGAAGGATCTAGCCGTAGCTTCGGCCGATCCTTCGGCTAGCTTCGGCCCCAGGACCCCTTCGGTTCAGTAGAACTGAAGGGGTGCTGTACGGGCTATTCACTATAGCCCGTACAGCTCCCGAACCTGGCCAAGCGGCTCAGTCGAGCCGAACGCATATGCATCGTCTCGGCTGAGCCGTGCTGAAAGCCGATCTTACGGTCGGCTCCAGCCACTTGCAGAGGGATCAGCGTCCCTGGTTACCTGCTAACCAGGGACACTGATCTTCAAACAGCTAACTCTCCCTGGCGCCCCGGGAGTCTCCTGCTCCCGGCCGCCAAGGAGGATACACTGCTGTGTCTTTTTTTTTTCTTTATTCTGACACGTAGCGATGTCAGAATTTAAAAAAAAGAAAAATAATGTTTTCCTATTGAAATGCATTGCTACATTACTATTGGCTATTTCAATTTGCAATAGCCAATAGTAAACTAGCATTGTACCCGCCCTCTGCTGCAGTTCTCCATCAGGTCCATCAGCAGAGGGCGGGTACAATGCTAGTTTACTATTGGCTATTGCAAATTGAAATAGCCAATAGTAATGTAGCAATGTATTTCAATGGGAAAAATGTTTTTTTGTTTCTTTATTCTGACATCGCTACGTGTCAGAATAAAGAAAAAAAAAGACACAGCAGTGTTTCTCTCCTGGCGGCCGGGAGAGTTTTTTTTTCTGTTTTTTTTTTAGGAATCTATTGGGTGGAGCTAGCTGTCACTGCTAGCTCCACACAATCGTTTTCTATTTACTTTTTTTAAACTTTTTTTTACTCTTTTTCTGTTCTGCTCGGGCCCTCTGAGGGACCGAGCAGAACAGCCGAGCCGAATGCCGCTCAGCGGCATTCGGCTATTCACTCACTGCTGTTCGGCATCTATAAGAATAGACCGAACAGCAGTGAGTAGCCTGCCGGAGGGTCGGCTCAGCCGATCCAGACGTTGGATCGGCTGAGTCGAACTCCTTCTGCACTTCAGGTCGGCCGAACATGCTGAGCAAACTGGTGCTATGTTACATAGATTGTGGTCCTCCTCTAAAGCACAATTACTTTGAGTTAAGATTTACAATCTAATGAATTTAGTTCTTGAGTGTAGTCTATGCAAATACCTGTTAGAAGCCCTACTTTATAATCCTATACATGATATCTGGTTCCCATGGATAACTTATTCCAAACTTAATGGTAGACACTTACAACTCAAACATGTGCACCACAAAACCCCCCTAAGGTTTTTTCGTTGCCCAACTCATCTGCCTATTTGCCGTTTTCTTATCTTTTACTACTCCTCTACCCTCACTTTCCTTTAAAATTATATTTATGGACCTTCACTATGCTCATGGATAATTTCCATCTGCTTCCTCCCTTAAACCATCACTGCACAAAACAGAATTACATACATACATTCTATGCCTCCATCATCCCTAAAGTGATGTTGCCAAACTATATATCACCAGCTGGTTGTGCTGCTGTTTAAATCTAGAAGAGCAGTTCCCAACCTCAGTTATACTGGAGAGCTGGGTGAAAGACGATTCCAAAAATGTTTTGCTGCAGCAGGGAACCCCAGTGGGTTTCAATCAGACCCATTCAAATCTTTGATGATAGTAAGATACGATATTCCTTGATACAATCTAATTAGAAAAACAAACCCGACAATATTTACATTTTTCATTTAAATTCTGAAAGAATCTAAATTACTTTTCTGAAGTTGATCCATGATCAAAAATGGTACGCTCGGAGAGGCATCATTATGCAGGAATTAAACACTGCCACTGCAAATTATTACAGATTGTGGGCAATAAAAAAAGACCAGATTGTCTAAAAAGAGATTAAACATAAAAACTACCATATCGTCATCAGTATTACTGAGTACTTTAATTTCCCATTAGTTTTTAAGAATCTTTATGCTTTAAAGTAACATGTTTGTACATACAATAAAAACATGTTTGTACCAGATCACTGTACACTACTAAGCTTTACCGTATTTCAGTTCATTAAAGGATTTATGGTTATACTACATACTGTGAAATTGCAACAGCTGTTAGATGCAGGAACAACAAACCTATCCTGCCAAGTTTAAGACCCAGATAGAGATTTTCAAATACAAAGCACATCTTTCACTAATGCTATACACCAAATACATACATTTTTGCTGCAGATTACTGAACATTTTTAATGATTTTTTTATATTATAAAAAAAAAGCTGCTCAGCTGCCAAGGAGACAGCCATACATAAATTGTTCCTATATTTAACAAAACAACATACAGGTTTCCCTATAAGTTAAATAACTTGTCACTTACTTAGAGGGGTAGAGCTGAGGCGAGTACTGGTGTGCTGATCTTGGACTGTAGCCACTGCTTGTGATTACTGTAAAATATAAAACACACTTGAAAAACTTTGCACCATAAATAACTTGCATTCACGCTATAACAGCTTTAACATCGATCATAAATGCTGACAAAATGAATTATTTTAGTGTAAAATAAGACTACAAAGTGTGGAAGTATTTGGTACAGAATTAAAACTATATATTGGCAACTGCAAACTCTCGGAGGTAGCTCAGCAGTCGAGCAGTCAAGTTCGAAGTTCTAAAAATACATTTGCAGTGGATAGGTAAAGTCTCACCCATCCTATTTCTCAGAATGTCACAGTCAGATTAATTTAGTGAGCTCAACATTGTCATGCAACATAACTCCAAATGATATCTGGTTAGTAAGAGTGATTTGTATTAGGCAGTGCATTTTTCTTAGTTTGAATTTTCTTTGCAAATACTGACTGCAAGAGTGGAATTGAGGTTCAGCATCATCGACTTCTTAATCATTCTGCTGCTGTTCAACATCTTCTCGACATGGCATCCTAAATGTCTATCCTATGTGGACTTATTCCAAAGTTAGTGCAGAAGTTTTTATTTTCCTTAACCATCTGTCTCTATCAAGACAGATGCATGCCAAATATACATTCTGCATAATGGTGAACCCATCCCTTCATAGGAAATCCATAGAGAAAACATACAGGGTAATGCAAGGCCATCTACTCATGTTTCACTTTGAAAATGATTAATGTAAGACACACTAGTGGAGCAAATGTGAACAAACACAATTAAAGTTTTCTAGAGGTTAATGAAATATAAATCCAGATTGATATAAATTAATCAGGCATAGCGTTTATAAGAACGGATATGTGGCTTTAGCCCCTTTTTACTTTTTAAATAAAGTCTATATAAAGGTAAAACTTTTTTTGTTTGGACAGAATATTGAAGGGTTAGACCAAGGGTCTCAAAGTACCGGCCCGCGAACCGGTACTATGTGGCCCGCAGCCAGCTGACAAGTCAGGCACACGGTCACGGACCACGTACCTGACTTGCGGGAGCAGCTACACGGTCTGCATCTCTGTCGGATGCAGGCCGCAGAGCTGCTCCTGTCAGCTTCGGCCGGAGCTCTGACAGTTCTGAGCTCCTGCCAAACGGTTCGATTAGTGAGGTCTGCACTAGACCGTACTAATCACCACTGGATCACCAGGGAATGATGTGCCTCCTCCCTGCAAAGATGCAAGCAGGTGAAGGGGCTTGAGAGGTTTATTATTATGTGTGCTGGAGGCTTGGAAGGAAGGGAGGGAGGGGGGAAGTTTATTATTATGTGTGCTGGGGGCTTGGAAGGAAGGGAGGGAGGGGGGAAGTTTATTATTATGTGTGCTGGGGGCTTGGAAGGAAGGGAGGGAGGGGGGAAGTTTATTATTATGTGTGCTGGGGGCTTGGAAGGAAGGGAGGGAGGGGGGAAGTTTATTATTATGTGTGCTGGGGGCTTGGAAGGAAGGGAGGGAGGGGGGAAGTTTATTATTATGTGTGCTGGGGGCTTGGAAGGAAGGGAGGGAGGGGGGAAGTTTATTATTATGTGTGCTGGGGGGTTGGGAGAGGGGGAGAATGTATTATTATGTGTGCGAGGGGGTATTGGAACAGGGGGGAGCGTATTATTTTATGTGTGCAGGGGAGCTTGGAACGGGGGGGAGGGAAGGGGAGTGTATTAGTGTGGGGGGATTGTATTTTTCTGTGTGTGTATATTAGGCCCCATTCACACCTATATTTCAGGTCTGATTAGGGATTCCTGTATCACAAACTTGCGTATTCCTGCACAGGAATCCCTAATCTGGCGTTTACATGCAGCAACTGTCACCCATTCAAGTTAGTGATCAGGTGACACTCGCTGGATTTAGATGCCTGCATACCGCATGTAATCGTATGTGATATGATTACACGCAGTTACAAAAACAATCACTCTCCCCGGATACATGATTGTGTATCCAGGAAGAGTGATTGATTCCTAACTGCATGTAATCCTTTTACATACGATTACATGCGGTGTGCAGGCATTTACATGCAGCGGCTGTCACCTGATCATTAACTTGAATGGGTGATAGTTGCTGCTTGTAACATGTGCAGACATTAACACTGGTACCGTATATAGTAGCGGCCCCCACGGGACTAAAACACTTGTCCAGTGGCCCCCGAGTAAATTGAGTTTGAGGCTGCTGGGTTATACCCTCTTGGTTTTTTTGTGTTTTTCTTTTTAACTGTTGTCTTTGTCTCAGCTTAGCTGGGGAGTGTAACAAACATCCCTTTTCGGTCCAGAGCAGTTATGGATGGGGTTTACCTGTCACCTAGACTCTGGTGTTTTATGGAATAGGGTAGTGGTAGATCTGTGTAGCAGTAGGCAGAGGGTTTCGAACTGGCCACATCCTTGTTCCCACCTGGGGTATAATTAAAATCTTCTCTTGGAAATGTGTGATGTGGTGTGTGTGTGTGTGTAAAACTGGCAATACACTAATAGATTTCTCTATCCATGCTAAACAGCATAGATGGATGAATCTTCGGATTATTGAATATCTGGCAGAATACCCGAAAAGTGACTACAGCTGATTGACTACAGTAACTGTTTATCCAATAATTTTTGGCCAGGCTGCTTTGCCAAAAGTCAATTGAGCAATCAACTTTTATTGAGCCGGCGGAGCCGCCCACTGTTAAACGTTTGGCTGAATCAGCCAAAATGCTAACAGTGTATGGGCAGCTTGCATGCAGGCTGTTCTTAAACAGCCTGTAGGTCTAAGCGGATCCAAAAGGTCTCATATCTAGTCATGTGGTATAAACTAGACTATGCTGACACAGATGCCATTGGAGGGAAAGCTCCCTTGTTTTGTGTTTTATGCACAGTCTGCATATTGTATATACAGTCTTTAAATGCACTTTGACATTTGAACTATCACCCGGCAAACTATACACTTGAAGCTAATCATTACAGGAGATTCCTCCCTCTATTAGTCCAGGTTATCGTTGTTGCCCTACACAAAAAGTGAGGGGAAATCCAAAATTCTAGAGTTGTCACCAGAGCGAGAGTAATGGTAAATCACCCAAAGGAACAAATGTTCCAGTGACAACTGTCTGTAATGGGAATTACCCTCACATTTCCTCTCATTTCCTATGGCAGCTTCAGAATAGGTAGTGAAGGGAAATCTCTTTATGACAGAGTTTTCCACAGAGACAGTAAAAAAATAAAACTAACAGGGGTTTTTGTAAGTAATTGAGCACAAAACCCTATTCTTCCATATTATCCCTTCCTCCTCCTTATGTTTAGGAAGCCTCTGCACCAAATGCTATACCAAAATTTTGCAGTGTCTAAAAAATATAGGGACACTTGTTTTGAAGGTGCACCTATTATCCATTGAATATTCCATCAATATATTAGAGAGGAGTGGCAATTATTAGTAGTGGACCAGTTGTAGACTAGGGAAGACCTGTCTTTCCAAAATTTGCTTCAATCATACTTAAAGTGACCCTGTCACTGATTTAAAAAAGAGTATTCATGATTACATCATGACCCATTTCTGAAATCTTTTTTCTCTAGCACAGTAAAGCCATTGACAGAATCTTCACTGCACAACACATTTCTGGGTGTGTTGGATGCCTGGTGCCCCAAAACGTGCTGTGGTTTCACATGATGTAGGAACCGATGGGTGGTACCACAGTGCATACCAGGGGACCAAGCATCTGACACATCCAGAAGTATTTGATATGCTAAAGATTCAAGGAACAGACAGCAAGATGGGTAATTATAAATGGTCTTCTGTTGCAGGGTGACAATTATTTACTTCTTCGTTGGTATAAGCAAAGTATTTATGACAGGTCCAATATCATTATGCAACCTGAATTCACTACATTCCAAAGCAGTCATGAGATCTGATATAGCTATAGTTATAGCTTATAGCTGTCAAATATTTTTTATTGCCAATGGCTACAAAACAGATGGACCTAAGAGTAAGCTTGCCATACATTGTACATTTTAAAATGAAAGCAGCAAATATCAACTCTTTCTATGTAAGTGGAGCATGACCCCACTCCTTTCTATCTCTTAGTGCTCTATATTTGTCAATAAGGTAAAGTTTAAGTTATGAAAAAATCAAGATCTCCTTGTAGCTATCTCCAGTTATTAATAGTAATGAATGCCTATATTTAGTGATGATTTTGACATGTGGTTCTTTCACTGATGGTAACCTCTGCCTATACACTGTTCGGTTTGTTTATATATAGTATATTCTGCATTAATACTCCAAGCACAGAGGACTACATAATTACTAGGGAACTGTTATACTAGCTTCTATTATGTAGATGAAGTCATGCCAGGCAACCTGTACACATCTGGTGGCAGAAAACAATATTTACAAACTCACTACTGTTGACTCTTATCGTATTCACATAGAGACAAATTGTCCACTATGATAATGCTAATCAGCCATCATTTCTCTTGTAGTCTATAGACAATGTTCACCTTGCTGAATGGGTTAAATAGCAGACCACAAATAATACTGATATATATATATGTATTCCTCGGTTACCGATTTACAAACATTCAGAGACAATGTCAATGACTGCTATTTATTTGTCCTATATGGCACTCCATTGATAAAAAGTAGAAATGTTTTCCCAACACAGGGGTTTTATAACAACATCTGAATATTTGTTTAATTTTATATTCCACAAACACATTATAATGAATCTGCCCAACATAGCCTTTGTACTTGTCTCCATTCAGCCTTTATTGCAAGGAACCGAACATCTTAGTAGCCTAGGCAGCCTTGAATATCGTAGTGAAATTGGATGGCTTATATTGAAACTTAGGGGTCTATTCACGAAGCTGCCGAGGGCAGCCAAAGCAGAACAGAAAAAGAGTGAAAAAAGTGAAAAATGTAAATAGCAAACGATTGTGCGGAGCTAGCAGTGACAGCTAGCTCCGCCCAATAGTTTCCTATTGTCCGGCAACTGCATTTCCAGAAGATCAAGCAAGCTTATCAAATGCAGTGGATACATCCTCATAGTACTGTAATGCCTTGCTAGATGTTTCCCAAATGAGTGATAAATAAATGATACACAGACACTTTGGTCACAGCAAAAAGTTGAGATATTCTGGTCTAAAGCTCCTAAAAATTGAGAATGCTCTTTCATAGAAGAATACCTAAGCAATTCTAGAATTTCCTTTTATAAAAACATTAATATTTTTACTAAAATAGTTGAATCATTAAAATAACAGCATAAACATACAGTATGTATGAATGACTAATAACATTCACAATTACAAGTGTAAATGTTTGCACAAAAAGCTAAGGAATCTATAGTAAATAGTTTGGAAGTGCAGCCTATTGTTCTGTGTCAGCTTTCATAAAAAGGAGTTAGCAAAATATGTGTTGGTAATTTTGCTGTCAACAATTCCTGCACAGAAAGCCAACTGCGTGTTTGAAAACATAGGTTCCCATTATCCCACCCTCATTATGAATATTTTAGTTTCTTGTTATCTATTCAACATTTTACGCATTTATACATGGCTGCTTTTAAAACTCTTTTACATAATTTATTAAAATTTAGTAATTATGTGTAATTGTCCTTCAGTGTACTCGTTAGACATACAGAACATGTATGATGCTTTGTGATGTCTGATTTTCAAACCTCTGGGAGCATTTGCCAACACACAGTTTCTGCCAAGAGGTTATGAGCCATCTATCAACCATATATTACATTAGGTTTAACAAGGTAAAATTACTATTTTTTTGTTAAGTGGTATCCATTAGGCCCATAGCCACAAACCTCTGGATATCCTGTGTAGAAAGTGTGACACATTCACAGCATGAAAAGCCATCTCAATTAAATGTATGACTTAACAGTAAAATAAATGACATGTGCACAGAACAGCAGACACACGACTAAGTTGTTAACTTTCGAGCCTACTGAACTCTTAACCATTAAAGATTTATGATTGATAACTAATTGCCGGCATGTACAGGCATGGATATTTGGATGACTTCCACTTTGAAAAGTTCACTAAATTTAACAAGATTGTTGCCAAATTTGGGATTTCAGGGGATGTGCCTATTAGGCTGGATTACACATTTTCTGCTTCTTTCGTGTGTGTAATATGTTATCAGATTGCTTTACCTGACCCAGTAAAAGTGTCAAGCGATCCATCTCCAGTTGTTGTGGTGGTTTCATTGCTGTTCATTGGCTCTGTTTTGACTGCAAGAAGAGACACTACATAGAAGAATAAGCAGACATAAGATTTGTCGTCTAAACTTACAAAATAGGCCTCATGCCATCTTCAAGCAGAAACAGCCAAAAGTGAATGTTCATGCAGCAGAACAAATAAAAAAATCCCTGGTAAGTGTAGCAAGTAATAAAAGTGGATAAGGCAGACATGCTATTAGAAATGCCTTATTACAAGATCTGTTCAGTCTAACATTTGGGTAGCCAAACTAAGGCCATGTAATAAGAGAGTACCCTTTCTAAGTCATAGATCTCTTTAGCATTGTTAATGCAATAAACAGTCACAATAAGACATACAACCGCATTAGCTTTAGAAATGACTGAACATCATGGACTTCTGTCAGCCTTACTATGTTACTATAAAGTGAATGAATAATTCTACATGGGGACATATAGAATAAATAAATTATGATTATCCATGAGTTCCAGCTTTGGCATTCTATGAATATACAAAATCATGGTTTTAGGATGTTCCATACCATATGCATAAAGGTTAAGTGAACACTTTACTGGGGATACATGTTCTTTTTTCAGCAATGAAATGCTTGTTAAGCAACAAGCCAACCACTGTAGATCTGTGCAAAATAGCGGGGAGTGTTTGTCCCATCCCCCCAACACAATAGTTGTGTTGCTTTCACTTTCCTTGTAAAAGAATAGAATGTAACATAAGTATTACCATATGACGTAATGGAGATTATCGCACCAAGTAATTGTAGCGCTGCTGGTTTATATTTGCATTTATTAAAGTGTATACTGTACGTATAGGAAAAACTTCTCCAGTTTTGGATGGAGTAAGAAAATATAAAAAAACTTGTGAAAATGTATTTTTCACTGTGTGTGTCCACTTAGGAGGATTTCCCTTTGCTTACTCTTTTGAAGATACAAGAAGTGAGAGGAAATCTTTTAAAAGTGAGGAGAATCCCTCTCTTAGATGATTATTACCAAAACAGGTGTCTCCAATGGAAGATTTCTTCTTAGCTCTTGTTCTGGTAACAGGTTTACATTTCTGGATTACCTATCACTTTCTGTCTTGATTAAATAGAGAGGGTGAATCTGCCAAGTGAGGACACAGACAGCAAAAAATATTGACTCACTCTAGACCAGGGGTGGCAAACTCAGGCCCTCCAACTGTGGTGAAACTACAAATCCCATAATGCATCTGCCTCTGCGAGTCGTGCCCGTGGCTGTGAGAATCTTGCAAAGCCTCAAGGGACTTGTAGTTCCACAACAGCTGGAGGGCCGGAGTTTGCCACCCCTGCTCTAGACCATTTGAGAAAGCTGTGGTTATGCAACAAATACGTCACAAATAGGTGTTTTTGTGACGCATTCTGCATGCACTAGGTGACAAGCCTTTATTGCATACCTCTTGGAACTTTATGTGAACTAGTTATCTCTATATGCACTTGCATATGTGCAAGTTTGCTAGTGACTGCTACTTGTGTTATATCTTGAGACCGTCTCATATCCTTGGAGGATGTTAGCGAACGGATTACAATCTATGCAAATCCGGGCAGCTAAAACTGAGTGCGAAAAGCATATCGCCGCAGATAGTAAAAAGAACCCCCAAAAATTTTACCAATATATACACAGGAAAAAGGTGAGAAAGGAGCAGATAGGCCCAATAAAGGATGAAAGCGGGAAGCTAGTCACAAACGACAAGGAGAGGGCCGAAGCGCGGAACGCTTTTTTCTCCTCAGTATACACTCAGGAGAGAAACGGGTTTGACACACATGATAAAACTCCCAGTTTAACTCAAAATATACTCCAGTGGTTGACGGAAACCGGGATACAACAAAGACTTAAAATGCTCATTAATTGCAAGAACTTGCGCTATTGGAAATTGAGAATGATAAGATATATATGATATTAAAAATGATATTAAAAATATAAATAGAATTGATAAATAGTGAAGGATAGTTTTTCTAAAAGGGTATGGGAAGCGGCTGGACTAAAGGCACTCAGCCCTTAATAGGATGTGTATTTTTAGAATGTACAGCGCTAGCCCTCCTTTAGACAGAGATGTAAGAAATCAAACGTTTAAGATCAAGGTTTGAGGTAGGCAATTGAAGCTAAAAAATCAAACATTCAGTGCAGGGGTGTATCGCAAAGGCTCAATAATTTAGATTAAATCTATGTGAATGGTTGTGTATAACAAGTGATCAAAAGATGTATGAAATTTATCTAATAAATGTTTAAAAAGCTGTGATAATTGTATCAAGTGTGAATAAATATATATATTAAATGGTGAATAAACAATGTGTAACCATTTAAATAAACTGAAATAAGATGAAATAAACTTCTATCAATGTATCCGTGAATAGTCCAAATCTTTTGTAGTTTTTCAAGTCTTTAAAAATCCATAAATGTAAGACACTTCCACAACGAAAATTCAGTGTAATAATGTGTTCAACGAAAATCCAAACTTCCACAGTGAAAAATCAGTACAATAATGGATCCAACACAAATCCAAAAAACAGAAGAAAAAATGAAGAAAAAATGAAGAAAAAAAGTGGAGAAGATCCCCTCAAGGGAATGCACTCACCAGACCAGAAGATGTTAAACATGTTTGTTTCATCAAGGTAAGCCTGGAGCTCCGTCCTAGATTTCCACGCTGGGTCAGGTTTCAGGGAAGGAAAGGTCTCCCGTTTACCCGTGGTGTTTAAAAGGAGTATCCTCGTATTTTAGGGGTCCTTCCGGTGGGATATCCAATCACATAATAGTAGAAATAAAACATACGCTCATAGCGTAATAAAACCCAGGTTTATTAAGAACATACAAGTTAAAACGAGCGCTCAAAAATATTGTTTAAAAAATCCGGCTGGTCACTTTAGGCGTGATTCCTTTAGACTGGATCAAATGACGTGAAAAATAGGCCCGCCCCCGACGCGTTTCGTCACACAGACGTTCTCAAGGGATAGCAGGTCTGTCCCTTGAGCATGACCTGCTATCCCTTGAGAACGTCTGAGCGTATGTTTTATTTCTACTATTATGTGATTGGATATCCCACCGGAAGGACCCCTAAAATAAGAGGATACTCTGTTTAAACACCACGGGTAAACGGGAGACCTTTCCTTCCCTGAAACCTGACCCAGCGTGGAAATCTAGGCCGGAGCTCCAGGCTTACCTTGATGAAACAAACGTGTTTAACATCTTCTGGTCTGGTGAGTGCATTCCCTTGGGGGGATCTTCTCCACTTTTTTTCTTCATTTTTTCTTCTGTTTTTTGGATTTGTGTTGGACCCATTATTGTACTGATTTTTCACTGTGGAAGTTTGGATTTTCGTTGAACACATTATTACACTGAATTTTCGTTGTGGAAGTGTCTTACATTTATGGATTTTTAAAGACTTGAAAAACTACAAAAGATTTGGACTATTCACGGATACATTGATAGAAGTTTATTTCATCTTATTTCAGTTTATTTAAATGGTTCCACATTGTTTATTCACCATTTAATATATATATTTATTCACACTTGATACAATTATCACAGCTTTTTAAACATTTATTAGATAAATTTCATACATCTTTTGATCACTTGTTATACACAACCATTCACATAGATTTAATCTAAATTATTGAGCCTTTGCGATACACCCCTGCACTGAATGTTTGATTTTTTAGCTTCAATTGCCTACCTCAAACCTTGATCTTAAACGTTTGATTTCTTACATCTCTGTCTAAAGGAGGGCTAGCGCTGTACATTCTAAGAATACACATCAAATACTATGTAACTATGTAACTATGCAGCCAATTTTTGGGTAATCCAGAGCTTCTACTGTTTCTCATGGTTTCAAGCATTTCTTCACTGCTATAGATTTACTTATATTGGCTCTTTTCCTACATATGAAGGCAGGACAGTTATATGCTGCTGAATACTGTTTTTTTAGAACCTTATCTGAAATATTTACCTTTATAAATGCTTGCTAATGTGCCTAAATATAGAGAGTATTGGTGACTGGTGCCTGTTAATTTCTGAGAAAGCCTCATATCCCTGGAGGATTGTAGCGATCACTGGATTACAATTTACTTAGCTATTCTTCTACATGGTCTCTAGCATCTCTACAGTGCTATTAACTTGCTGATATTGGCAACTGATTTGCATGGTCTCAATCATTTCCACAGAGCTATTTATTTAATAATGATGACAATTTACCTGCTTGTCAAGGCAGAACAGTTATATGCTGATAAATATTTTGCTCTTTTTTTGATCCTCTGGAACAGGCAGTTGAATATACATACACGTATATGTGTGTGTTTTTTATATCTATATCTATCTATCTATCGATCGATCGATCGATCGATCGATCAATAGATAGATTTATTTATTTTGTTTAGGCTTTCTGTATGTGATGAGCCTTCAGTGGGTTTATTTGGGAATACACTTTCTGAATCACAAGTAGATGTTCTCATCAGTGAAGTATCTCATCAGTGAAGTATCAACAAAAATAATTTGGAAAGATTGGGCCACTGTAGCAATGTCTGGATTTAAAAAAAGTGAAGGATTTGTATGTAGTATACTTTTTTTTAACATAGTACAAACATTCAAGTGTTCTTAGTCAATACTGCCTTTATTTGTCTTTTAGGGGCCTATTTATAAAGACTGCGGTTTTCACTCTTTACACACTACAGGGCATTGGTACACCACATTGAACTGATATTTTACATTTGATTTAAAAAATGCAGAGTACAGTGTTAAACCTAGCGGGACCTTTTCTGTATAATACTGCAGGCAAGACATGTGCATAAGTGAAGAGTCCTATCACATGACCTATTTTTAAGGTTCAATTA